CTGAGATAAGTCATGAGATGCTTTATCTAGCTAAGCTATAAATTGCAAAAGCATTTTATTTGGTGTTAGATGTTGAGAGTTTCTAACTAAGACGAACTTTATACAGACTTCTCACTAATTGGGATTCAGCAACAAAGCACCTCGGAGAAACCTAAAGGAAGTAGCCTCTTTCACCTACCTAGGCAGCATCATTTCAACTACAGGCGGTGGCGCAGATGAGGATATCAAAACCAGGATCGGAAAGACAGCAAGACAGGCTTTCACTAATCTGAAATCAGTGTGGGGATCTACTGCACTCCACTCAGCACAAAGAACAAGATCTCGATTTTCAACACCAATTCAGTCAAGTCACTACTGCTATATGCTTCAGAAACTTGGCGTGTCACGAAAAGCATTCCCAACAAACCACAGAAATACATCACATCAACAGCTGTCACCTACGCCCACTCACTCACTCGATACTCAAGATCAGATCAGATGGCCAGAATAATGAGAACAAACAAGAAGGAACTCACTCTGTCTGACCTGACAACGAACCAACCAGGAACCTATCACCCAACGAATATGCAGAGGAAGAAAGTGTAGATGAACTGGATTGGGCATACACTGAGAAGACAGATTGAGGACATCACGTGCCAGGTCAGGTCAGGTCAGGTCAGGTCAGGATGTCGAGTGGAATCCGTAGGGGAAATGACGAGTTGGTTGTGTGAGCCGAGAGTGACATGGAGGAGATAGTGTGTGAAGAATAAATGAAAGCTTGTGGTCAGTGGTGGCGCCAGGTTGTAAAGACTGCAGAGAAGAGAGTGGAATGGAGGTGTGCAACTGAAGCCCTATATTCCACTAGTAAGCGAAGGGAAAATAATAATATAACGAAGCACCTCTATGACCTTAGAAAAGCTTGTATTATCTTCAGGGACTAGGGTTGAGTCATTCAGTGTCAACGTCACAGACTCCAGCAATAAGTGCAACGTTTGACAGTTATAAATAACAAAAAGACAAAACATGTAGATAAAAAACGGTACCAAAATAAATAATAAGGATATAAACACATCGATAAATGACTTTTTAGAAGATGTTAAAGGTTCTAAGGATGATAACGCGAGAACACATTGATAATAGTGTGATTAGTTTTGGAAAGTACAAAAACAGTATCCAAATATTGATCCGTGACATCTATTACTTCCCAAACAAGTAATACTCAGGTGATCGGCATACAACTACATGGGTTGGTACTCTAATCTGGTGTGGTTACGCCTTCTTTCCTTCCTACCTACTGCCATTGCGACTAACGCGACACCAGTAGGTATTAGAAAGATCATCAACTAACTAGTCCTGTTTATCCTGTACTCTATGTGTGATTAAGTAAAAACTAGTCAATTCACAATTCCATTAAAGGAGAGTAACCCTGTGAAAAAACGTTTGATGGATGACCAATTGTCCGACATCATCTATTAACAACAGACTAAGGTAATAGGTACTATAGACAGTTTAAAGACGATTGTTAGTTTAAAACTCCTTCAATGAAAATGTTTTAAAGTGACTTAATTAAAGATGAAACATGAAGACCAAATAAGTGTTCTACAGACTACATTATACAGTCCTATGTAGAGTATGAACCAAAACTAGATCTTTCAAAGTCATAAATTATGAATACTTTGTTAAGTATGGTGACCGAAATATTCTGAATTTGTCTGGTTGGTGGTCAGAATTCTTTACTGAATTATAAAAAATAAAGTAATCGTATGAATAAACAGATACTTTCTAAAACTATTGTATACAGTAACGTTTTAAATCACCCTTTCTAATACTAACTAGCTTTTGGTTGAATTATATACCGACCTATCTTATGTTCTCTTCAAAATTGTTTAATAATACTCACGTTGACTAAAATTTTTGGTTAAGTACTTTATCGAAATGAAATTTATGATATATAGTTAGTTAATTACCACATGCTGGGTATAAGTGAATCAAACGAAAATTGTACTTCAATACCAGTCACCTTATTTATCTGGCTACTTTTATTCAACTGAACAGAAAAAAAAGGCTTCATGCAATCAGATCATTGTTAAATTCAGTATAAAGGTTTTTGATGAGAATTGACCGATTCCAGTAGAGCTCTCATCATCAATTATCCTCAGTCATAGAACCATTGGAACTCCTAAATAATGCGTGCTCACAAGCCTGTTCGAAATACAGAATTATAATATCTCGTGGAAAAAACGTTACCATCCGGTTACTGGGTTTGAAACTAGTGGTCCACACTTCTTCCTTCTGTCAGTTCGCGATATACTATACCATATCTTACGGTGCCAATAATGAATACTGGTCCTTACACACAGAGTGGCTGACTCTGTAGGAAATACCATCTCACCGGGAATTCAAAAGATTCACCCGAACGATAAATGTGTCATGCACAGCACATTATCACGCCACTTCAGTCAATAAAAGTCTGTAGCATCATCAATTGACAGAATTTCCTGTCATGCCTAGTATCCTTTATCTGACTTTAACATTGTTCACACGGTGGTTCCATCAAACGTGAGCAATGCTACGAAGATGCCTATGATCGAAACCCTGCAACCACCTGATGTCTTCTACTTTCACCCACCATATCTCACAGTTGTATAACAGGACAGAACAAACTGCAGTGCAGTATAGTTGGATAGCTTGCCAGTCGGTGCCACATATGACGCAAGTTGGCGAATGCGGGAGGAGCCTTCTGTACCCGAGCTGAGACCTCGTCACCAACCATTGTTGTGTATGACGAGTTACTGCCTACCTCAACGTACAGTGCTAGGAAAGTTGGAATAGGTTGGAAGGTGGTTTAGGGTGGCCAAACAAAGATGTGGTACTATTCCATGAAGTCCATAACTGTTGGTCTGAGCTTTGTTGAGGGATTCAGAATGCATGGCTGGGGTCCACGTGACAACAGGAATCAGTAGTAGAGAACACATGGTGATATGGCTGAAAATCGGTCACAATGGCGCAGCTGTATTCACTGTTTGATGTCTTCTAATGCTTGAATATTCGCACTAACCTTAATCTTCAAATTTCTAGTTCTACCATTCTGCCATTCCACGCTCTGCTCTGTGATGATACGTAGCGTAGCAATTTGATCGGCACATGATTTATTCTTCCTGAAGCCAGCCAGCCAGGCTGTTCCGGTGGTAATTTTGAATTCAGCGCACCTTTTAGTCTCTCTAGGATGATGAGGCTTAGTGGTTATTTAGTAGCTGGTAAAGCATTACCTTAGTTTTTAATCCCTTCACTATTATTAATTATAATTTCGAAAAAGTCATCGAGATATGTTTATCCTGGACCAATATCTGCCGCACAATCACTGGAAAACTGGATTATGTTTGTATGTCATGAAAATACCTTTCGAATTCAGTCACTTTCATACGAATTTATGAATAGAGTGAAATTTTAGTGCTCTCTAGAGATTTACTTCCACATGAATTTTCTAACAGATAGAGACACACAGAGAATTATTCAACATATAACCTTGCACACAAGTGCTCCGTTCAAGTTACCACACTTCACAATAGTATACGAGAAACAGGTAGATGCAAAAAGAGTAATGTCAGAGTAGAAAAAATCATTCAACAGCTGTATGAAGACGCCACATACCACGTGATTCACAATGGAAAGCCCAGTGAGGCCTTTGAAATGAAGACAGGAATAAGACAAGGCTGACCCCTTACTATCACCTCTGATCTTCCTTATTGTGGTCGACTGGATCATGCAGTGAACCGTGAAGAGCGAGATGGGCATACGCTGTTTGACCGATGAAAAGACTCAAGAAGAATATTTGGATTTCGCCAGTGATGATTATTTGTGTTTAATATCTTGTCGCACAAACTCGGAGATGTACACGTGAAAACCAACAAGTTAAAAGAAGAAATGAGGCAGCGAAGACGGGACTTCAGGTAAATGAAGAGTAGTAATTATTACCCCATATACAGTATTATTATATCTTGCACTCACCCGTAGGGCATTTACTTTTGTGACAGAAAGTAAAGTAGAACAAACAAATAATGAATTTACAGCTAGTTAGTTCCGCCTAAAAATGACTGATTACTCTGCCATATTGTGATTAGTTCTCTGATGCATATTTTGAAGAGATTCAAAGCGCCAAAAGACTAGACATTTTCTAAAGTACGTAAGACAACTTGTTTATCAGTGTCTTAGGAGATGCATCTTTTTAGTCTGCTTTAGCCATTATTGCAACAGGAAGGTGATCAAAGGTAAAATAGAGATTTGGGCCACGGTAGGATTCAAACCAATGATAATTGAATTCCGTGCTCAGCTTTCTACCAGCTGAGCTACGACACCTAACTACTGACAAGATTTTTGCTTTATTTTCATTGATCTGACCAGTAATCAGGTCTTGTAGTTCAGTTAGTAGGATAGAGGTCTGGAAACTCGGTGGTCTCTGTTCCGAGTGCTACTGTGGTCCAAATCTTCAATCATTACCCAGTTTCAATGCGAGACTACTAAATCACTGCTGATGTCTTAGATAGTCAAACTGATAATCAGTTATTATTAGCATACTGCTTTAAATTTCAATCAAAAATGACCTTTTTGGTAAGCGTGTACGAAACACAAGGCTAGGTGGAACAAAAATGAGGAATAGACTCAGTAAACTAAGTGCTACAGCATCTGACAGTCTCCAAGTCAATTATTTCTCTTCCTTGTTAGTTCACGGTAGTCTACCGAGAAGCGTAAAGTTAGATTCTTCGCCTATTTTAATAACTCAAACGTCAAGCCGTCAACGGAGTAGTCCACTATTTTATAACCGAATAATTTGAATGCAACATACACTATTTGGTGGGTTTCATAATATTTATAAGTTTCATATTAACGATACACTGTCACATCGGTTAGAATTCACGTTGTGTTATTCATCTAATAAGACTTGAACTAACCAATGAAATAGCAAGACAGCCAAATATAATTCACACATGAAATAGCTGAAAAAGAAATGAATTCAAACCTACCCCGTGAAGGTTTGTTCACTAGACTTTTTCTGGAATTACTGTCTTTAGAGCTCTAAAGAAATCAAAAATTAGAACAGAGTATCTCAATTACTAAGTATGTTACGGCTTTCGTTCAAAATCTTAAAACCGTAGTCTGCAACTACAGCACACTAGTGAGAATAACTTGTTGTGTATGACCATATAGAGAAATATTCTGCTATGAATAAGGTGATACTTCCATGGATAAGAGTATGTCTACCACTGAGTCATCAAGTCGTTGGTCTCTCCTTGGGTATCAATAATCCACTGAGTACGTGTGAATCAGGTTTCAATTTTTGGTGGCTTTATGACGCCAATCATTCACAAAATAGCCATTACTGGCAGTGATAAAATGAATATTTAATATATCAGAAAATATGGACCACAAATCAGGAAGCACTACAAATATATACAGAGAAAGTAGATCGTGCTGAAAATCCTGAATTTCGTTGTACTGTGTAAAATAATAGGATATACAATATAACACACCACTCCATTTAAATTAGTAAAGCTGACAAAGTCACCTCATAAAATGAATTTTTAAATCTTTGCTACTTAAAAATAGTAAGTAGTCAGAGTGTTCGGCTAAAATCTTTGGAAGCGATTCCGTATTTTGTAAACCATCTGTTTGACTCAATTATTTGTATTCAATTAACATCACTTCGAGCAGCTCTGAGTTATAATTCACATTACCTAAGTGTACCTATCCAGTAATTTTTTATCAAAAAATTCTAGGGGATAAATACTTTTTGTGTAAGGTACCTCTAAACTTATCTTTCAATTGTCTCTTTTACGCATGCTTCACTTCAAAAAGCTCATAATGCCAGGGGTATCTAATAACATGTAATGGGTGAGATGAGGTTGTTCAAAAAAGGTGATTTGTTGATGATGCTCATTTCACGTACACCATTTCCATAGGCTAAGTGATGAACACTGGTCATCAATATGATAGGGCAAAGACAATGATAGCTGCTTTCCAGAGAAATACAATAATACCTAGTATAATTATCTTTATATGATACCGTCGATCCATGATTGACATAATTAGAACGTTGGCAATATCGATGCATCCACACAGGAGCTCATATGCCAATACAGACCGATCAATTCGGTCCAATCAAAGACGGTATCAAATAAAAACAATTATACTAAAAACTATACCCGTCACATAAGAAGTGGTTATCATTGCTCGGTGGTGGATAACGCTCTCGCGTTTGAAGCAGTCCCTCCCGGGTCCGAATCCCGTTGGGAACGACATCACTCACTGGGAAGCGGGTACATCCAGCTAACGAGTCCGAAATAGGACGAAGATGGGCATTCTGGATTCCACTGCTAGCCACGATCCATCATTAAATAATACCTAGTGTCGATAACTTTTGAAAAGTAATAGAACAAGTTTCTGAAACATTTCTACACTCAGTTAGGGTATATTTTAGTACTTTATGCATATTCACCTCCTATCCCCTGAAATATTTCTCATTTACAATGATATGCTACTTTGCTTATTTTCAGTATACGATAAAAACTACGGAAATTGATGGGGAAGGACTTTGGTGCCTATTCCTGAACTGTGCTATCCATCTTTCTTATACTGGTATAACAAAACTCTGAGCGTATACAATAAAGTTATTCTCATTACCATTATATTCTGCAATCGTTAAGCCTGATTTGAAATTCCCTGAGGAAATTTACTAGGTGAAAACAATGCTTACTGACATATATGTATCCAGCACAACTGGTTTCTTAATCCCAAGTCGTAGTTTACTTAGTGATTAGCGGTGGAATCCAGGATGCGCATTTCGTCTTATTTAGGACTCTTCAGCTGGATGAATCTCCATCCTAGTGAGTGATGGTGTTCTAAATGAGACTCGAACTCAGTACCCGCCACTGAAGCCTGGCGACCGCGTTTTCAAATACTTGTCAACAGTTATCGATAAACAATGTATAATCCAGGTCTAGTGATTCTTGCTCACTGCATCTATCTACAGTAAAAACCAAATGTTTTACAATTTAACTTTCAAGCAGCTTAAGTTAGCATGTGGTTGATGAAAGTGTACAGAAAAGTTTGAGATCAGTGATATTTTCGCTGTATATCTTATAAATCAGTCAGGACTTATGTATTATAACCAATGAAAGAGAACCAGAGACCCATTAGCTGTTAACCAATGGTTACCTTAGCTTGTCTTGAACTATCGGATGATGTCTTTGATGAGGATACAGACTTCTTAGAAGTTGGTATGATAACTGGCAATAATTTGTGCAGGCTAAACCAATGCGGTTTCCCGTCAAGGTATTCTTTATCTATAAAAGAAATAAGGTAAAATGAAGTGGCAATAATGACACTGAAAGAAAACATTGCAGTACAAGTAATAATGATGCTGTTTTGTAAAATCAAAAAGACTTCCGTTCGAAATGTTAGAAAGAAATATTGAAGTGATGAATTAGTTGGCTGTTCTTCTTGCTTTCTATCAATGTTATTCACAGTCATAAGATGCTTTTTATACAAGGAATTAGAGGATATTTCGACCGGCATGACTTGATTGCATAATATAAATTGTATAAAAAGACCGAAAATTTGTTCTCAATCCTATAAATTATTGACAGGAAGTGTTCTATGGTGTGTCAGTATGCATATCTATAAAAGTGGAAGGATTATTCATGTGTGTCAGAGTTCACGCCAGAGAAGTATATTTAGGAAATGAGGCTTATGAGAAACTTCATATGGGTAAAATCTGCCCCTTTTTCTCATGCAGAAGGTTGTAATCGGTCCACTTCTCTTCGTCTAGCTGGTCCAGAGATTGATATTCATCAGGGACTGACATCGGTTGGAGAAATATTGGAAACCTGGGGCACTGGACAGCTATTCCGTCCTATAACAGAACTTCTCGTCAGTTTCCACCCATGACACTGCTAGTCATATAACACAGAAACTCCAGGTTCTGTGGTCAGCACTGGGTTGGGATCCGACATTCCGCAATTACTACTTCTGTCAGTTGACAATATAGCGGTAAGCCTACCCAACGCCGTTGCTGAGTAATTGTACTCATTTCCGATTTACTTGGCCCCACCGATCGCGACTTCCCCTTAGGACTTCGGAAATCATCTTTCCAAGCGAGTCACTAATAAGCACTAGATTAGTTCAATTTGGGGTTTTCGGGGACAACCAGGTCGAACATAAAGATAGTTATTCAGCGGTGGCATTGGATGGAGGTTGCTCTATACCGTAAACGGACAGAAGTAGGAAATACAGACCATTGCATTCTGACCCACTAGCTCAATAGTAATGTGCTGGCTGTGGAACTCGAAGGTGTTGGGTTCGATCGCCAGGAGGAGGAGGAGAGGTCATGGGTGCACACTACTGGGAGTCTCATACTAGAGTGAAACAGTTGTTCAGTGCATGCAGGTTTTCAATAGTTCTCTAACTGATGTCAGTTCATGATGAATACCAACCTGAAATTAATAAATCAATCCCCAAAGACTGCAAAACTGAATTAATTGAGAGGTATTTTATCCTCACATTTGCAATAACCACCGACTCATGTAAAAAAAAGATATCAGATAACAAAAAGACGTAAATTGTTCACAAACTTACCTGTTACTTGAGTGAGAACCATGACTAGGGAATAAACTTGGCCTCAAAATACTACAACTATGTATTTAAGCACCGATTAGGTAGGTGTAGGTTTTTTTACAAAGGTCAACCTAACCAAAATATACCAAAATAGGTTAGCTAGCTAATTCATAAACTGAAAACACTTTTTTTTCACTATTCATACTATCAGTAATGACTCTTGTTCAAACTAGTTTTGAAGTGCATAGTTTGTTTACTAATAATAACAATGTTTTTCCACTGGTTGGATTTGTCATCTACAATCAGACCGGTATGTGGATCGGTATCAAAAGATCAAGTTTAGCAACAACAAAAAAGTACTAGCTAAACATCTGACATCTGTGCAACCAGTTACTAAACACAAGGATTTTCAACAATCATTTATTTTGCCATGATAGGTAACAAAGTGTAAGATGGAAATATGAATATATTTGACTGAAAGAAATACCAACTTCCTTCTCATACCTGAGAGAGAATTACATCGCTCAGAACTGACGCCTGAATTAGTTTATTGGTCACAGTACAGACTTAATATATACAAACAAATCTAACATGGAATTAAATTCTACCACAGTGCTCAAGTTTTACACCTATATTAATATACACACTTTTACTGAAACTAAGGACTTGGAAGTTATATAGATTTTTATCCGAAGACTGACTCATTTGCTGAATCCATTCATTCGCAAATTGCTGTCCACCCAAACAGCTCAATGGCAGAACCTCTGGTGATGTGGTTTTCAATGTCCCAGCGGACATGATGTTCTTCAGAGTTGCAGATGAGCCCTACTGATGAAAGCCAACAAACCCATAAGCTAGATCCATAACCTCCTAAAGCCTAAAACTTGACAGGCAAACATTTTACCGGTTAGATGAGTAGAAAGTGTCAAAATTGTCCGATTTTCATTTTCAGTGACTGGATGCTGGAAACTTTGTTCGCATGCCATATGTATGAGTAACCTGTTAAAAAATATCTAAAGTGAACAAGATTGTCCAAAAAGGTATGACAAATTATAATCTGTAAATGTCAGTGTTAACACAGTATTCGTTGTGCCTTCAGCTTGTATAATTTGTGCTTTACATTCCTTTCATTTACCAAAGTGTTGAGTTATTTCAACCTACATGTCACCTGCTTACTGAAGCTTAGATGGCCAGAAAGAATAAGCAACAAGGAACTCTGGCCTGATAACAAAACAACTAAGAGGCTGTCGCTCGACTTATATGCAGAAGGAAGTGGAGATGGATTGGGCATACATTGAGAAGACCGACTGGGGACATCACGCGCAAGGCACTCGAGTGGAACCGAGATATGAAACAGCGAGCTGTGCGTGTGAGGGTGACATGGAGGAGATGGTGTGAAGAAGAAATGACAGCTTCTGGGCTGTTGTGGAGCCAGGTTCAAAAGATTGCAGAGAACAGAGTGCAGTGGATAAATATTAATAATAATATGTCACTGTATTAGGAATGCTGAATTCCATCAAGTGACCAATTATTTATGTCACAGGATTTACAATATATAGTGGTACCTTTTATTGATCGTATTATCATTGCTGTTTATTTGAACATTAAGCATGAAACAGTTAGCGGTATAGGGTTAGATAAACTGTGTTATCTAGGTACGACCTTTAAAGGGTTGCCAGTTTCTTATTCAGTTTGGATCCATTTTCAGTCTCTTCGCAATGACAGATTGAGAAAATCTTTTACACCCTTCTAGTTACAAACATCTTCATCACCTTTAAACTTACAGAGTAAGTAAATTCTAACTGGTCACATAGGTGACATATGCTGCTTTCATTACGTGTACATTGTGTTCAAATAAATTGTGTCCGAAACGTTATCCAGTAAATGCTGCTGTTTCACTGTGTGATATTTCTAATCAACAGACTAAAATGGAATTACAATCGACCACAGTGCCCAAGTTTTACTCTTATACATGTATAATACAGTATGAAATTTTTAGCATGGAGTATTTCAATAAATTCGTTTTCCGTATAATATTTTCAAAATAAATAATTATTACTTCTGCATAGTGTTAATAATAACAGTATTGGAGGCATAAGTGTGAAATGGGTAGCTAGTATTACATAAACATCTGTTCTCGATTAGGAAATTAACACAAAATCGAGTATAATTTTAATGGTGACGGTTCCGTTAACCAGTACAGAAATTCACAATCCCGTACAAATCGTCCAGGAATGGTAATGTGGCGTATTTCTGAGCATTTATAAATCCATTTCTAACCGGTGTAACATTTTCCTCATCTTTTTTTCTTAGCTTGAAAAACAAAACTTCGAAAACCTTTTAAAATGCGTTCAGAAGACATTTAAAAGATTAAAACAAACTTGAAAAGGCAGAATCTGTTGGAATATAATCAGTAGAACATTTTTTGGTAGCTCAAGATTTAAACAGGTCGCCTTTTTAGTCTTTAATGGGTTAAGCCTGAAGGTAATGCAATACGAGGCCAACCCGTAGCTGATAATATCTTCCAAGGTGTATTAATCAAGTGTGCTCAACACATTGAACGATGAATTATAATTATTTTAAAAAAAACAAACATGTATCATTTAGAAATACAATTCTTACCACCGAGATTAATGATTGTCTGTCCCATGAAATCATTTGTTTTCAATCTATCAAAATCCCATACAGTTACTTCAAGTACACGTCTTTTCAGTGTACGCTTTATACAATTCATAAATACTACAGTTTGTTGCCATTCTGGTGTTAATGTATTCGGCATATATTTAGTTTGACGGTTAAAATCAGGGCTGAATTATAGAACATAAATTGGATACAGTTTAAGAATACTTCAGTACAAAGAATCAAAAAGTATATTACTACTTTGATGTAAAGGTGAAAAATTCATCAAATAATTAACGATATAGATAAGACTATGTGAGATAGCCACGATTTATCAGAGAAAATAATAATAATAACAACTTTACTATAAAGCGATATTGTGTAATGACCATCTGATGTTACGTTTTTCAGTTTACCCGTTAGTTACGTTATTGCTTTCCTAGGGAAGGTTAAGCATAGTTTAGCGTGTACAACTTGAACTGCAAACGTTCACTAAACCAGCATTTGAATACACACTTGATAATTTCAGTTTCTTTTATCTTACATTGTGGATATTCACTCATAGTGAGAAAGTGATCTGATTAACCTTATTGATTTTGATACTGACTGGATGATGATTGGAGGTGAAATAAAAATCTAAGTCTGGATATGGTTCGACCTAGTAGCTTACCGATTACCAGACCAACGCTTTACCAGATACCCTACAAGATTCAGGTACTGACTAGGCCTTAAAATCATCCATATCACTGAAAATTGTATCACACTATCCTGTAAATATGTGATCAGCACATCAGCTACCTATCCAGATCTTATCGTTCGAGTCCAAGTCAAACCTTAACTCATTCTAAGAAGGAAACGGGAATTTTTCTATGCCCAAATTAAAAATACTGCTGTTGAACACTTCAAATGATAATTAGCTTATGATGCATCCTTAAATCATTGGGATCTATTAATCCGAGAATTCACTATGGCTAATAGTTTGATCGACTGAGTATCGTAGCCTCCTATAAATAATTTTCATTTATCACATCAGTCAGCTTATTTGATATCTATCGCATCATCACTCGTTTTTCTTGCCAACTAAATACTTAGTTGTTCAGCAGGCTGACCATAGATTATAGTTGCGGATTGTCTTTCGACAGCTACGCTTTTGAATGGACTGTCTAAGTGTGCGTTCAGTGAGGTAGTATTCAAGAGAAAATTGACATTTTTTAGTAAGTCGTTTACCTACTATACCTAACACCTAAGAGGCACAATAACTAACCATATTTTGAGCTCTTATCCACTGAAATGATTAGAAACCTCTCACGCATCTTTCAAGCCACTGATTACCACAATATGGTCTGTTACTTCAAGTAGATAGAAGTACATAGCACTTTACAGCCCATTAGATGAATATATTCCACCGTTCTACTAAATTACAGATGTTTCATCTCAATCAAACCACAAGATGTAAAAGTACCGCATTATTTCCTTTGTGTTGAACTACCAAAAAGTAACAAAATAGGGCAGAAAAGCTGTTTATGGCCAGCTGTATAAATAGTTCTATAACGGATATTCGTATATAACGAAAAATATGGTTTAGAAGGCTATTGTTTACGAGTAAGTTGAACTGTTTTAAGAGTAGAAGTGGTACCTGCATTTCTGTAATTCCAAACAAGACAGATAATGAGATGACTCTTTAAACATTACAGTGCTTGATTATCTGACCAATTCAACGAAGTATAATGCTGAAGGCTATGATATGTACCAATATGTAGCTCAGTCTGTCTCCTGCAGGTCATTCGACAGAAGATATCATTACTGAACTAGCCTTTAACCATTGAATTCAAGTTCAAAACTTTTCGACGGTTTTACTTTTTGAATAAACTTTCAAGCAGAAAGAAAGAGGAGTAACTACCTTTGCATTAGAAAGTTATCTGATCACTTTCAAAACACCAGAATTTATCAGTATAAAGTTCAATTTGCAAGTTTATTCGGATTTATTTATTTCAAGTTGGTGTGCACTACAAACCACTGAAAACCTGGGGGCACTGAACATCTGTTTCGTTCTAGTATGCGGCTCCTCAGCAGTGTAAACCCATGACCTCGTCATGGGTCAAACCCAAGGCCTTCGGGTTTCCCGGTGGGCAGGTTACCATTACCAATGATACTTCCCTAAAAATAATTATAAGATATGCATCAGATCCACCATCAATAATGTAGATATAATTCTTCAGGAAAATAACTATTTTTTTAAATAAACAAATTTTTTAGAAGAAAATAATCAGTCTTACTCTTCTGTTGGATCTGGATGTAGACGAACTTTAACAAATGGATCAGCTAAACCATTTAAATCCATTGATGGTAGATTACGTGCTCGTGCAACGTGTACAGTTAAACTTTGATCATAATCATCAAAGGTTAAGATAAGCTGTAGCATAGATATAAAAATAAGAAAGAAACCACGATATACAGTTAGATTTCAATTTTGATTCATTCCTATGTTGAAACAGTAAGTGAGGTTTGAAGTCTAGAATGAGAATGAAAAGTGTTCCGTTTAATTGTTCTTGGACGCTTCATAACCAGGCTACTAGGTGACTTGACCAGCACTTTAGAATTATAAAATATTTTCCTGACGATAAGTCTAGTGTATTCTGTGATCATTTACAGTTTATTCGACAGCGATATTTGACAGTATGATAATTCGCAAAGGTGGTCTTCCACTTTAGTGTTGTTTGAAAAGGTGAGTTTCATTGTATACGAGTTAAGCTTGTGCACTGTAGCAGAATATAATTCCATTTTTATTGATTTATTAGATATATCATATAGTGGAACAGTATTATTTACTGGATTATGCTTGGGACACAATTTGTTATCTATAGCCATTTCAAGACAATTACACAACTTTGGGACATCCTTTGTAAGGTCATAATTTTCTCGCCTTAATTGTGATATATGTAGTAGGACTTTCCATATATCCAGAACCAGGTGTTAAGTCATTCCTGCTGCATGTATTCGGTGTTGATTCGATAAACAAAGATTCAGTTATCAATCTGTACCTCCATCGTGCTATGTTACTTTTAAGCATTTTCACCCTGTCCCATCATACTGTGTGGTTGTGCCTAATTGAATAGATAGCTATGACCGAACGTTTTTCTTAATTCCTTATCACTTTTCATCTACCAAGGCTTTTGTGTCTGCATAGATAGCCTAATTGACGCTGCTCAACTACTTTCATCAATGTATTTCACCTGGAAATCGTTGCAAGGGATTTCATAAACTAAATTATTCTACCTAATTGGATCAGTGACTTCTTTGAACCTACAAAGCTTATTTCTAAGTGAGTTTGTAGGTTTAAATGCCACTTTGATCCTAGCCAACCTTATTGAGAATCCTATGTAATGTCTCTGAGGTGCCTTCTTTGTTTGGTAATACTGTAGGGGTTTTGAGTTCTCTCTTCACAGTAGTGCCACTATTATTATTAATATCATTGTCACGTGTGTAACTAATATTAGTCATATTTTCCCGACGATTCCTAAGGAACTTATCGAATAATTTAGGAGAGTAATTGTTGATGAGTAAGGTGTCCTTAATGTATTTGGTTTTTTTGTTTAAATCTTCTGTTTTATTAGTAAGTTTTTTGGCAATAGTACTTAGACACTTTACTAAGTCAACCTTAACTGACATAGGATGAGACAATTTGAAGTCTAAGTAGCGAGTTGAATGTGGTTTTCTGTAGACACTAGTGTCAAAACTGCTGTCTGGTTTCCGTTTTATTCCGCAATCCAACCTTGCTAATTTCCCTCCACTATTTTCCAATTCATAGGTGAATTGGATTGCGTTGACTACTGAATTTATTTGTGTAAAAAACTATGTATGTACTCCGGTTTCAACAATATACGTGCCATCTACATATCTAAGCCATACTTTTGGAGCCGGACAAAATATTTCTACAGCCATCCGTTTCCAACTTTCCATAAATATATCAGCGGTTTCATGGGAACTCCTGTTGGTTTATATTTTATTCTGAAACTTAAACATTGCGGAAGTTTGGCATATCTGTACTCTTAACATGATATCATCTACTGGTACTTTTGTTCGCAGTGTATGCTCATGGTCATTAATGAACTCCTTTCTATCTACCTCAAGGGCCATACCAATCGGTATATCGGTATGTAAACTAACTACATCAAAACTAACAGTCCTTTTATTGTCATCTAAATGTTTGTCATCTAATCTATGTTTCAAGTCATAAGAGTTCGTAAGTCTCGACTTAGAACGATTTCTAATGGTACCTAGTACCGTCGCTAAATATTTAGGTAAGTCATAAGTAGGAGTGTATCTAAAGTTTACTATGGGTCTAATATTTTATAACTTTTAATAATACCATAAATCCTACTGGGATTATTAGTTTTAGGTATCAAATCAAACCATTTCAACTCACTTAGAAACGGCTTCATAGGGCGTGCTAGATCCACCATGGTTTTTTAACTTTATTCGTAATAGCATTATTGGTGAGTTCAAGTTCAAGATTTTAAATTGTGGGATAAAATGAACACAAGATGGAAGTTTTGATACTAATGTTTATAGATTACTTCCTCATTCATATCGCTACTTAGACTTCGAAACATCTTACCGTATCTCAGTTAATGTAGGCTTAGTTAAGTGTCTAAGTAATAGCGGAAGAAAGCTTATTAGCAGAACAGAGAATCTGAGCCAAGGAGTTAGACATATTATGTATATAACACTTTGGGATTTGAGGTAGTACGAGGTCCGAATCTTAGTGGGAATGACATCACTCACTGCGACACAGTTAAGTCTGGCTGACAAGTCCCAAATAAGAGAAAACACGAGTCTTAGATTCCACTAGTAGACAACAACTAGACTACAATATTAGGTGTAACTTATGTCTCAGTAATTAACTACTCACCTAAATTAATTGGTAAATTCATAAGAAATTGTGCGATAAACATAGGCAGTAGTGGTAACATAGGTGTTAATAGTAATCATAAAGTTAGTTGTAGAATTGCTAAAAATGTTGATACTATGACGGCAGAATTTAGAACCTGTGCTAAGTTTCCGTACTGGGAAGGCATATCAGAAACATTACGCAGGATTTCCATTAAGACTGGGTTATAGTGGAACTGAAATTTAAAAATCCACTTTGGAACAAGTTTTTTAGGTTGAAAGATTCTATCACTCCATATAAGGCAAAACAATTTATCATTTTGGCTATCTGAGAGGTAACCGTGGTCTGGTAGACTTGTATTAATACTGGATGATGATTAAAGGTAAGATGAAAATTCCGACGGTGGGCGGTTTTGAACCAGTAACCACCTGGTTACCGGCTTGGAGATCTGCCAAATGAGCTATCAGGCCCAACTATTGACCAGATTTTTATTTCACTTCAATCACCAAGTGTTCATGCCTGACTACTATGTGAATTTGTGATGCGTTACTACCGCTTGATTAGTACAAGTTTGCCAAACCACTGCTATCTCAGATGGTCAAAACGATAATCAATATGATGCTCATCCTCTTTAGTCCAGTTGGATTTTGATTGGGATGACAAGTCCTAACTAGGCAGCCAATATGAATACTATCAAGCGACAGTAACGCATAACGAATTCACATGGTAGTCCCGCAAAATCCTTGGTGACTGAAGTGAAATAAAATTCTGGTCAGCGGTAAGGACCTCAGAGATCAGTTGATAGAGCATCGGGCGGAAAACTGAGTGATCCCTGGTTCGAGTCCAGCCGCGGTCCAAATTTTTGTTTCACCTTCACCCAGTATCAAAATAATTTACTTTACGAAGTATGTTCCAATGATTACCAAGTCAAATACATTCGGCTAGCGACAATATAGCTACTTGATCACAAAAGTTTATTATCTACATCAAGATTTTTGTGAAACCTTATCAGATAAGTATTCTAGAGAAAAGCTTGACTATATCTATTGTACACACAACCACATAATAGAATGTGACAGGTTGACAATATTAAAAGCTTAGTGGGGTGGAGGGAGAGATTAATAACTAAATCCTTGTTTATTGAATCAAATACATGAAGTAGGAATGATACACCATCTGTTCCAGATATATGGGAAATTTGATTACTTTGAAGGAAAGGAAGGATAGGGAGTAAGAACTGTCTAGGTTATATTTCAAAGTTGTGGAGTTATTTAATATGAATATGGATAATCGATTGTATCTAAGATGTATTGCAAGAAAAGAATACTGTTTCACTCTGTAACATAAACAAACTAAAATGTAGTGACTTCAAATTGTACGCCTATCAGTTGACAAATGTTTTGCCAATTTCTAACTCACCCAACTGGACAACAAAATTATCGATTTAGCTACTAAGATGATTGAGCTGCTATCATGCGGTACTAAAATTACTACTAGGATATCATAGGCAATACATGTACTCACGTAATCATCTACTTGATATCAGTATACTTTTAAACTAACAATTTTGCTACTTATTAGTAGAAAAGTTCAAGTAGTAAAAATACCTTGTATTCAGCAGTTCAATAGTTTGACGCTAAACTTGAAAATAAATCTACACATGCTAAATTTAAGTAAAAGTCAATTAAGTTTACATCAACCTTGTTGTTGGATTATCAATTCAACTAGTAAGAAGGTCAACAAAGTATTTACTCTTCTTGAGACTTGTATCCACATTGTTTACAATTTATAAATTTTACCTGAAACCAAAAAATATTTCTCCATTGCTCAAACGAATTTTCTTCTTATCATTTGAGTAATTTCCATTTAGTACTAAGTATGATGAATTCGCTTACGTTAATAGTGCCAAATGTGGTAGGTATCAAAGCACCAACTAATCCTTATTTAGGACACTTTGGTTGGTTGCGGCTAGCAGAAGAATTCAGGACGCGCGTTTCGTCCTACTTGGGACTCATCAACTGAATATACCTGCACCCCAGTGCGGAGTGTTGTCCCCACTGAGGCTCGAACCTCATACTCATCGCCTCAAACGCCAAGGTATTATCCACTATGCCACGGAGGAACGATAGCCACTTCTTGTACAACAGGTAGTAGTTATTACTATTTATTGACATACTTGTTATTCTCCGTTGTTTTGTTGGATCGAATTGTTCGACCTCTATTGGTATATGGGCTCCTATGCGGATGCCCTGGCATTGGTTGAGTGTTAATTATGATAATTTTTTTGGCTGTGGCTAGCAGAAGAATACAGGACGCGCGTTTCGTCCTATTTAGGACGATAAACAGTAATAACTACTACCCATTGTACAAGGAGTGGCTGTCTTTCCTCCGTGGCATAGTGGATAATGCCTTGGCGTTTGAGGCGATGAGTATGAGGTTCGAGCCTCAGTGGGAACAACACTCCGCACTGGGGTGCAGGTATATTCAGCTGATGAGTCTTAAGTAGGACGAAACGCGCGTCCTGAATCCTTCTGCTAGCCACAACCAACCGAATTATCATAATTAACATCCAGGAAATATCGAGGCATCCGCATAGGAGTTCACATCCCAATAAAGGTCGGACAATTCGATCCAACAAAACAACGGAGAATAACAAGTGTGTTAATAAATAGTAATAATCTTTATTAAGCTTAGAGTAAAAAAATATCCCTTCTAGCTGAATAAACACACAAACTTTTCTGTAGTAGGTATGTCAACATACTTAATATGTAATTTTCCCTTTACCATTACCAACTTATTTCAAAGTTGATTACTTTTTCGCAAGTCCTACAAATTAGTTTACATGAAGCATAAAAGTATAATTGCCTTAAATTTGATTGATGGAGCTGTCAGAGAATACCAAAGAAAACATAAGAATAAGAAGACTGGTACAACAGTAAAATGGTTCAGATCGCAACACTTTCTAGGGAAACAGTGTGATAATACAATGAAGTAACAAGTCACTAAAATGTTGAACAATATGAGAGAAGAATACACACATAATAGCCGTTCAAACAATATTTAGGATTTCAAAAATGGTCAAGATTGTTTGCATCTTCTCCAGTATGCTAGACATTGAACCCCATTACAAATACTCTGCTACTATTACTAATCAAAAGCTGGACATCTTAAACCGAGCAATCCATACTTCATTGGAGGACTCAGGACACCTAGTAAAGTTAGGCAAATTCCCTTACATTCATATTTCCATCATGAAGTTTATAAAGAAGGATAGTAATGGATGCTTCATGTTGCATAGAAGGTGAGTTTTGGAATGCATTATAATCTTCCTTATCTAGAAGAATAAGTTTTTCAAACATCTGTTTTGATTCTGCATATCACCTGTTGATGAATGCAGCTGGTGAAAATTGAAGTGGTCTTGAAAAGTGACTTCGATTACCTGCACCGAGCATAGTTTACCGCTGTTTACCTAAATGCCAGATAATATTAAGGATGACATGGTATACAGATAACTTTACTTCTATCACGATTATTTTATCTCAGAGATCACTTTAGGGCCGGTCTATGACACATAGTGTAGCCTTACTTACCCAGTGTATCGCATACAGAAATATGAATTCGTAGCATGAGGTGAAAAGTATTAGGTCACAGTTTCTGTGGAAAAACGTTTTGTTGTCAACATACAATGAATTACAGAATCCGGTCAGCACTGAGGACTAAAAATGTGGAGTTGCCTTCGCTCCGGTGACCTAATTCTATGGCTTCTGGTCTATTGCCATTACTCGTCTAACCTTCATCCCAATGCTTCACGCTGGTAAGCCTCCTAGCTTGCTGGTTAGACTGAAAAAAGATTGATGTAATCCAGTTCGCAGTCAGTGACCAATTACTGTGATATATATATATATATATATATATATATATATATATATATATATATATATATATATATATATCAGACTCTAGCAAATGACAAGATATATCTTTTCCATCCTTTTGATGGTTTTACGAGAATCAAATTGAATATATGGTTGTATTTACGGTTTACATTCCTCGGAAGTCAATCAAAATCAACATAGGATCTGATGTTGGTGCGTAGTGGTCTTCCGGAAAACTTTTGGAGAAAAGGGAAGTCAGTTGATAAGGTGTTGTAAACCTTCATTGACTCAATTAGTTAGGACATGGGGTTGCACACGCCTAGTCACCATCTGCTTCATCTTATAATGTTAGCTAAAAAGGTTAGTAGTGACTAGAATGAAACATTATACTAATCCACGAAGTATTTGACTATACATCTCAGCCATGTAGGGATATATGAACTTGTAGATTTGACGTCCACGTGACAACGGAAATTGATAGTGTTACAGAATCTTGATGATAAAACTCAGAATTGATCTCACTGACGAAGATGTATTTACATATTATATTCATTTTGACTTTTCGTTAAATTATGTTGTTATCCCATCCATTCTGTTCTTCTTTAACGATTTTCTAGACCATTTTAACTACTTCCTAGCTTATTTGTTTCTTTCATCTTCTTGCCTTATTGCTTGATGTGTTTATATAAGAAATATGACAATTTGGACAGTTACGTAGTATTATCAGGTCTTATACTGATATTGAAGAAACGCAATTACCTGAAAAACCTTAACTTGTATAAAGAAAATGACTGATAGAGTATACACATCAGAGGATATAAATAGATGTCCTAATTTTTCAGTTGTAAGAGATTCGGTTTTACTTTTTTCATGCCTAAAATAAAAAAATTTCATTTTATAAAAAAATTTTCTCCTTTTTTTTCTTTTTCTAGTATTATTTTAAAAGTACCAGTGTATCGTTAGGAAGAATAACTGAAGGATTACTGGATGTTTTAAAGTATAAACTTAAGGTGAACTTGCTTTTTTGCCTTTATATAGTTCAATAATAGAAATGTATTTACTATTGTCTAGTGTTGATCGAATTCTGCTGATCACTTTGTAATATGGTGATGAAACTAACAGACTCTCCATTATGGTAGACTTTCAGAGATGTTAGTTGTAACTTCTTGCCGATTGCCTTGAATCAACTAACACGTAGTAAGTAGATTTTTATATCTGAAAAACCTTTTAGGATGATAAATTTTTTATTAATTTGATACCAGTACTACAATTTGAACTGAAACTTAACTTTGGCTGTTCACAGCTCTTCTATCTTCAAGTGACTTGTTATCAAGTGATTTGATTAAGTATTAACCATCAATTCTATTCTGACCTGCTTTCATAATACCATTTAACATTCCTAGATACTATTGTTTAATATCAATCTGTTGACTGAAGTTACTTTTAAACTATGAATTAGTGAAAAAGGCAGATATCTTCCTCAATTTAACTTCATCAGTTTAGATTTAGATGTAGAAAAAGAATAAGACAAACAAGATAACCAATCACAAGGAATCACACATTTGCTAGCAATAAAACAACTTGAGGGAGTTGTGGAGATTTGGAATTATTTCAAGTTGTTATTCATTGTAGGCTGACATTAGTTGGAGGAACAAAGGAAACCCGGGAGCACTGGACAGCCGTTTCGTCCTAGTATGGGACTCCTCAGCAGTGCTCAATGGTAACGCGGAACCTGAAGGTCGCGGGTGCGATCCCTGCTGGTGGGGTCGTGGGTGCGCACTGCTGAGGAGTCCCATACTAGGACGAAACAGCTGTCCAGTGCCCCCGGGTTTCCTTTGTTCCTCCAACTGATGTCAGTCTACGATGAATAACAACTTGAAAACAACTTGAAGTAAACCTGAAATATGACTGTAAATGCAACAACGTAGATATATATATCCCAATACACGTATACCAAAGTTCCCTTTTTCGACCCCACCAATGATTTTGGTTAAATGTCTATATCTATCTTTGGACATGTAGAAATATCAAACACCTGTTAATTAATTAATTGAACGAGTCAGTTATAAATAATTTGAACATTATTGGTTTCAGTTGTATGATATTCAAAAAAGTATGAAAGAAATACTCACTTCAATCTCACCATATTCCAATGAATCTTCATTCTTCTCATGATGGGACTGTTGGGATAAAAAAGTACACAACAGTGACACGAATAAGTATAATGCTGAAAAAGTTGATAAACAGATTAAGATTCTAAAAAAAATCTTTTGAAGGAAAATAGGCATCCATCTCGGTTTACAGATAAAAACCATCAAACAAAACTCTCAAGAAGTGATTCAATTTTTGTACTAGAAAGGTGGCTACATAAGTAGCTTGACTTCATAAGTCATATAACTGCTGATCTTCTCAAGAGAAAGATTCCAAACTTCCTGGAGAGAATATTTCTAGTATCAAATTTGAGAGTAGTGTTCACCAGCTGCCTTTTACTTTGAAACATTCTGAAAGACAAAATGTTTCATTTACCTGTCTTTTTGTATGTATATGTGTTTATACTCATTCACTTGAGCCTGTGGAGCCTATATGGATAAAAAGAGGTAGTAGCAGATCCATCAGAAGTGTGCAGTGTTAACATCTTGTCAATACTGTTCATTTAATCTCATCGACCTTCACCACTTTCAAAGTTATTTATCAACTCAAAAGAGACCTCTCAAAGTCAATGTGTATCCAAGCTCATGCAGTTGATTTACAAACAAAAAACGCTTATTCAACCCTTCTTCATTTTATAGTCTTGATCGTTAACGCTTCGAAACATTTCTTCTTCTGACTCTTTCATTATATTCATTTTTTTACGTGTTATCAACTATTCCTTGTTTCTATAAAGACCTTGATAACAACATAATGTACAATCTTTATGAAGATTTTTATTGAAACTGATCAAAATGTTTTATTTCTGAGATCAGTCACAGAATCATTAAAAACCAGGAAATACTGGAAAAGCATTCTGTTCTAGCTTGGAACAGTTCAGTCACTTGGTATTATTTGGTATTAAAACTGAGATGCTAAGCTCTCATAAAGAGTTGATTTCTACTAAGCCACAGTGTCGGAATTTAGGGGTAAACATCTATAATGATAAATTGTTCACAGAACAACTACATAAATGAACATTTATGTTAAATCTCTTCCCCATTTATATTATTAGTGGATTTTGGCTAGCAGTGGAGTCCAGGATCCACGTTTCTTCCCAGTTGTGACTCGTTGGTTGAATGTATCTGCTTCCCAGTGAGTAGTGTTGCTTCCATGGAGACTGGCCCAAAACCGATCATTTTAAACATCAGAGAGTTAGTCACCAGGCCACTGAGTCACGATAGCCACTTCTTGTGAAACGGATATAGTTTTAATGATCCCGTCATTGAGTGAACCGAAATGATAGGTTTCTATTAGGATATGGGATCCTGCACAGATGCCTGGACATTACTTCTGTTTCAGTTTCATTTTAATGGTGGATATAGGCTAGCAGTAGAGTCCACGATGCGCGCTTTGTCCTGTTTTGGACTTGCCAACCAGATGCATCTGCCCCCCCAGTGAGTGATGTAGTCCCGACAAAGACTCGAACCCCGAACCGATCGTCTCAGACAACAAATCTATACTTTACTCGTCTCATAAGGAGTCGTCATCATGACTAAGTGGCTTGGTGGATAATGGTTTGGCGTTTGAAGTGACTGGTCTTGAATTCAGGTTTCACAGCGAAGAATACCATTCACTGTAGGGTAGGTACCTCCAAGCGGCGAGTCTGAAATAGGACAAAACGTGTATCCTGCCTGCCAGTATCCACCGTCATTGTCAAGATTCAACTCCCTGCTTGAGATTTATACTTTGTAATGAGAAATGTAGATCATAGGAATCAAACTGCCTTCAGAAATTCAGTAACCAGCAACGCACTTGTTAGGATTCATCCCACAGTTGATCTAATCTGAAGACACTGGCTACAAGAAATTAAACTTCGAAATGAAAAGTTGCTGAGTAGTCTAAACCTTCCAGTTTTATCATATAGTGATCTTGATATACCTCATAAATGAATACTAGGACCTCTGAAAATTGGAACTTAAACCTGTGACTCCTGCCATCACTGGCTATTCGAAATTCTAACAGGTTCATGGCAGTTATCTCACTGAAGAATTTACTTCAAGGTTGTTCAAGTACACAACACAGATGTTATTGAGATGTTCAAAGGCCATTCAAGGATTTCACCATTACTAGTAGGTTTTAAAATCATTGAACCCGAATAAGAAATAGCATATGCAAATAACAGCGAAGAAAGTTAAGCAATTTTTGGTTTACACTAACTTGCTATTATTTTTTTATTGCTCAGTTTTCTTGCTGACCTCAGGTGTGTGCATTTGACTCCAGGAGACTGTTCAGTTAAAAAGCTCATAGTTGACTATCAACTTAAACCCAATTGAAAATTACTTTTTTTCTCAGGATTAGTGTAACACTAAAACTACGCATCCAATTTTCAGGAACAAAAACAGTGACGAGATTAGACCATCTGAGAAATTTGGATCTATATGAAGTACCTTTAAAACAAGATTATTACTTCTCAGTTTCAGATAATAATATAACGGTTTACGTACTATCCTGGCTAGTAAATTCTTCATGAGGCAGTTAGACACACCTATATCAGTTATTCAGAAGGTTTTATCGATTGTGATAAATTATTCTTATGGGGTCTGCAAAGACAGCCACATCAGGTGAGGCAATGTGAAACGTGAAACACCAGGAAGAGGCTAGGAAAATTCATCCTTAAGCATAAAATATTCCATAGCTCTGCAGAGATCTAATGAATATTTTACTTTATTTAGAGGTAACTTCAGCAGCAGAACAATGTTTTATTGAGCGATCAAAGAGAAACAGTTATAACGGTTGTATGACATTCAAACTTAATGTATAAAATGAACTGGACAATGCACAAGTTTCCTGGTTTCAATCTTTTTAATATGAAAACGCTTAAAACGTACCAACTTATATAAAATATATATGGTCTGAATAAAAGAAAACTTAATGAACTTCACGGTTTTTGAATGTACTTGCTCATAAAGAGGTACGTTATATTATATTACTGAATGTAAACAATAAGATTTCCCGGACTTCAGCTTTATGCCTGAAGCTAACCAGCAGTGTGTTTCCTTTGTATTCTTCAAGGGAGATGAATCAACGGTTTTTATGGGTGTAAATCATTATTGCTGTTTGTCCTATCGACAGAAAGTGAAAGGGATATACACAAACCTAACATCAAAGGAAAGACTTTATTGAGTGGTGGTATAAAATGTGACCAGCTGCGCAGAAACCGCAGTATATATTAGTTAGATGTTGGACGTCGACAAGAAGCTGTGGACCTAGACTTCGTGATTATTAGCATTCTTCAGTAAAGCATAGCTGCAACCTCTACGGGACTGGTGTCCCACCTGAGATTCTAACTCACATCACTCACTGCTTTTGTCAGAGATGTTACCAGTGAGCTACTCGGGCCGTGACCGATCTCCTGTAGGACAGGTTAGCTATATGGATTGGTCACCGGAAGGTAAATAAGTTCACTTCCCGTTGTCCCAAGTGACCCCCGGGCTGGAAGACTCATCATGGCAATACGCTGAGATACATATTAGTTGGACGGAGGCAATGAAATGATGTAGCTAACCAGTCCCACAACAGATCAGTTAGGGCTCAAATAGCTCAGTGGTAATATCTATGACTGAAACTCTGAGTGACGTCAATTCGAATTACAGGAGGGACATCACTTCCGTAGAGGTTGCATACAAGCCTTTCAGATGAATGCCAACAAGCCCTTGGTTCAGGGCTTCCTGCCGATCGCCTCCAACCAACTAACATTCATCTCAGCGCATTGCGATGGTTAGTCTCCTAACCTGACGGTCACATTGCAAAGATGATCAAGAGAGTTCGATTAGCACTTGGGACTACGCAACTCTCCAGTGATCCATCCACTATATACTCGTTAATAAGTTAACAGAAATTAAATATGTAACTTACTAAGTGACTTTCACGCCGACCATCTCTTCGACCCCCTTTAGATGATCGCCTATCATTATTCACTTCAGTAGTATCCATAGTAATTGATTTTTTAGAATATTTTGAATCTTGTATAGTTGATGATGATGGTCGTTCAACAATCTTACCAGGAGAATCTGCTTCAAACCAGTGCATTTGACTTTTGTTTAGTGTTATACCGGCGTCTTCATCATCTTGTATTTGTTGTTCATTTGTTGAATTATGCATACTAGTCAAGTGTAATTTATGTGGATTATTATGTGCAGTTTGACTTGTTGATCTATGATCACTTGATGGGATTGCTAAATAATGCTGACGCATATGAGGGCATATAGGTCCTTTGGATCGGTTCATTAATGCGTGTTGTGCTGCATGATGATGACACAATGCATCTAGTCAATTTAAAGGAGATAAAAACTAGTTCAAAATCATGAAGTACATTATAGTGAGGCATTAAAAAAGAAAGTGTAAGTTTTAGACAGACACTTACTCATAGACAAATGGGAAAAAGGCTCGACTGTAACATATTAACCAGACTAACTAGTTAACATGTTCATTCCAAGCTAAATAGTTTAGTAGATCATGTCAGTGTTAAAGGTGACAGCACAATATGAAAAAAATTGCCTTTCGGTTGAAAGCTACAAAAAAAGCTCTTATAGATTCAGAGCCTGTTGAAAAACAAAGCTGAAATAAATTTCCTTAGGTAATGAATTTCATATGTAGGAAGTTGAATAAAATTGTACTTTATGCAAGAGCAGCTAGCTTATGAGGACAAAAGCCGTATCGCTATATAATATTATCCTCAGGACTTTAGTGGATGAGATCTTCCTCAGGAGCTGGAATCTATCACTCATTTGTAAAAGTACTCAATCCATAAGCTGGATGATTCTGTTTTCAGGTCTACATTTACACCGATTATTGTTTCACATCCAGTTATCTCTCAAGTACAATTTGAATCAAGCTATGAGAACACAATTTGCAAGATAAAATGATGTCGTTTATTTCAAAGCATTTTCCTCAGCTGCATACAACCTGAATAAGTAAGTAAGTAAATAGATAATCGCTGTGGCGAATATTACCATTCCTTATATGGAGCGTTTTAAGATACCGGTCAATGATGTTGCTTGTATTATCCCATCGTTGAGCAGAGCGAATTGATCGGTTTCTACTGGTAAATGAGCTGTTGTGCGCGTGCCTCCATATTGCATATGTTTGAGTTCGAATCCTAATATGAACAACATCGCTCGCTAGGAGGTAGGTAAATCCAGGTGACGAGTCCCAAATAAGAAGAAACATGTGTCCTTGATCCCACTGCCAGCCAGTATTCGTCATTAACATACCGGTTAACGGCTTAAAGATCAGGAGAGCATAGTAATTCAGAACACTGAAGGAAGTTTTAGTAATAAGTTCAACTAAACCACATAAAAGTTATACAAGGCAAGGTGAGGAATATTCACGAATAAGTGAGATAAGATGAGATTAAAGTAGAACGGGTTGCGTAATCATGTGAAAATATCAAGCTGAAATATGATAAGGGAGTGTGACAAAACGATCGTAATCACAACAAATACGGTAATAATGAAATGATAAACAATGTGAATATGGATATGAATAAGTACAGAATAAATGTATTGGAAGTATATTTTTTGGAAAGATGAGAGGATGAAAAGCTACTAATTACTAGGGAAATACTAAATTGGTAATTATCTCCTTTTGAACACAGTCCCTACTGAACCCGTCAGATAGTGGTGGCTTCAGTAATTTGAAGTAAGCTCTATTGACTACCATGAAGGATTTTATCGCATCTACTTGATTTCCCTTATCGTATAAGTGAAGAGCTATTGTAATGTTGAACAAGGATGAACTTCTGAGACCTAGACTCTTTGGCATGTTCTCGGCAATCCTGGTAAACGAAGATTTCAATCGAGACTGTGTTCAAAAGGAGATAATTACCAATTTTGCATTATCCTAGTAATTAGTGACTTTTCATCCCCTCATCTTTCCAAAAGATATACTTATTATTATTATTATTATTTGTCATTTGTGTTCCTTGTGGAACATAGGGCTTCAGTAGCACATTTTCATTGCACTCTGTTCTCTGCAATCTTTTGAACCTGGCTCCACGACTGCCCATAAGCTCTCATTTCTTCCTCACCTGATCTCTTCAATGTCACCCTCAGCTGAAACGAAAAACTCTTCGTTTCCCATCTGGGCTCCACTCGAGTGCCTTCTCATCTCCTTTGCAATCTGGGCAGCCTTGCTAGGTTCATACACGTTGCGAACATCCCATGTCGTTATGCTTACTTTCGCTTTCATCGAGAGAAGACACATCGGCCAATTGGCTTCACGAAGGCTTTCACCAACCGGCGTCATCTCGCCTCTCCGATTCCAGCGAGGAATAATTTTGTTTTTATTTCTGATATTTTGTCCGTGTTTTGAAGTTTCTGTAGCGGTTGGATTGATTTTACGGGGTAGGGTTGCTACCCAGCCTTCCCTCTTTATCCGGGCTTAGGACCGGCTAGTAACTAGTGAACTAGTTAACCAGGCGAGGTTAAAAAACATACTTCCAATACATTTATTCTGTACTTATTCATATCCATATTCACATTGTTTATCATTTCATTATTACCGTATTTGTTGTGATTACGATCGTTTTGTCACACTCCCTTATCATATTTCAGCTTGATATTTTCACATGATTACGCAACCCGTTCTACTTTAATCTCATCTTATCTCACTTATTCGTGAATATTCCTCACCTTGCCTTGTATAACTTTTATGTGGTTTAGTTGAACTTATTACTAAAACTTCCTTCAGTGTTCTGAATTACTATGCTCTCCTGATCTTTAAGCTGTTAACCGGTATGTTAATGACGAATACTGGCTGGCAGTGGGATCAAGGACACATGTTTCTTCTTATTTGGGACTCGTCACCTGGATTTACCTACCTCCTAGCGAGCGATGTTGTTCATATTAGGATTCGAACTCAAACATATGCAATATGGAGGCACGCGCACAACAGCTCATTTACCAGTAGAAACCGATCAATTCGCTCTGCTCAACGATGGGATAATACAAGCAACATCATTGACCGGTATCTTAAAACGCTCCATATAAGGAATGGTAATATTCGCCACAGCGATTATCTATTTACTTACTTACTTATTCAGGTTGTATGCAGCTGAGGAAAATGCTTTGAAATAAATGACATCATCTTATCCTGCAAATTGTGTTGTTATTGAGTATATCAAGTTGATGAAGAGGGATTCATAGTATGAAACTACGATTTCTAATTTCGAATAATTGTAATCATCTCTGTATATATTTTCACTTCTGACAGAAAAGTGAAAATATCAACTTGGAATGTATTTTAGTATATTATACTGAAGGAAAACAAACCGCAGACGTGGAGGGTATTAGTGCAAATCACATTACCCAATAGAATCATTTTATTGTATAGAGTCTCTCGCATGCCATTCATAAGATCAAGTGACCACGATCAACAGCATTGCAACAAAGCCTTCATCATTACACATCAAAAAAACAATTCATTATGATTCAAACTGCCTCAAGTCAGTTACATTACTAGTGATGACCAACTCAATTGTTAACTTAAAATATGTGAAATTTTCATCTGAATGTTCTGCGGCTAAATTTGAGTGCAGAATTGCCTAAATGATCATTTCTAACCAACTATTCTTTAAAATTTGAGGCAGAATCTGAAAGATACTTAGGAAATAACTTTCAACAGCCTTCAGTCGAGAAATATCGAGTTAGCTAAACAAAGACAGACTATCCAAGTTTCTTCTTCCGTATGTATATAGTACTTTAACCCTCTTCGCGAAGTAAAGGATACAGAGCTTACAAATGAATACTTTCATTGTGTTATCTCCAAACATTGTCCATCATATAGCAATGATGGGCAGTCGCTAGCAGTGGAATCCAGGATACGCACTTCGTACAAGAAGTGGCTATCGTGGCTCGGTGGTGTAGTGGATAACGCTCTCGCGTTTGAAGTGATCGCATTTGAGTCCGAGTCCCGGTGGGAACAACATCACTCACTGGGAGGCGGGTACATCCAGCTGACGAGTCCCAAACAGGATGAAGTGAGCATCCTGGATTCCACTGATAGTCACTGCCCATCATGACTATACATAGTTAAAAGACAGGCAGTATCGTGGCATCTACACTGGAGCCCATATGCCAACAGAGACTGATCAAATCAGTCCAATCAACGACATTGTCCATCATAGTTAAATAGAAGTTAGACAAGATAAATATGGCGTTCTATATTCCAACATCTCATCGATACTGAACATGGCTGTAATTGTCTACCTTTTCTAAGCCCAAGTTATCGGAAGAAATGCAAAAGAATCAAACAAGCTATTGATAATTTATATTTTAGTAACGAAACATAAATAATCTACACTGTTTTGATAATTAGCCAGTGATTTCCTGGTACAATAACGTTTAGAATCATTCCTACTTTGGTTAAAACTCTGGACTAAAGTAGTGACTGACTGATCAGCTTTACCAAACTTGAGCTAACTTTTTTTCTGTCTGAAAGGTAATATTGAATTTCTTCAGTGTTCCCTAAACAGATTTAGGAGAGGGAAGAATTTCATGAAAATTACATATGATCTAAGCCTGTTTTTATTATTATTTGTCCTTCGGTTCCTAGTGGAACATAGGGCCTCAGTAGCACGTTTTCATTCTACTCTCTTTTCTGCAATCTATTGGACCTGGCTCCACAACTGCCCAGAAGCTCTCATTTCTTCCTCACACGATCTCCTTCATGTCACCCTCACCTCGGACGCCCACTCGTCGCTTCCCATTGGGGTTCCACTCGAGCGACTGGCCTGGCGCGTGATGTCCCCAGTCGGCCTTCTCAGTGTATACCCAGTCCATCTCCACTTCCTTCTGCATCTTTTGTGAGCGATACGTTGTTGGTTGGTTCGTTGCCAGCCAGAATTCCTTGTTGCTTATTCTTTCTGGCCATCTAAGCCTGTAACCTCTTCAAATTATCCATCTATAACAGTTAAATTTCATATTAGGTATACTTGCACTCTGATAATTAGCTGCATATTCTATGTGACGATATAGATAACGCAGATTAGTAAATAAAAAATGTAACTTTTCATTGGCATCCATATGTAACCAACAACCTTTTCAGAACAACATTTGATTTCATTTGTATTTTGAGTGGTATATGATTAAGCGCTGCTGCCAAAAATGAAATGTTACTTATAATATCCTCCTTTCTTGAGAACAAAGCGTGAAAGTTACTAGATTATGTTGTTTTATGGGCCTTTTTCCTTCCCTGATAGATATAATTGACTGATAGCTCATTATAGGCATTCATAAATTTCACTACTGATAATGTTCATTATAAA